CATATATATATATCTAGTTAGGTCTTTTAAAATTTCTCTTGGCAATATGTCAGAGTTTGCAATGCAAAGGATTTTTAATTTCTTTTTTTTGTTGTTAAATTTATTCCTAAGTATGCTTTCTGATGGTATGGTTAAATGGAATTGTTTTTTAAATTTCATTATTTTTAATTGTTCACTATTCTAACTTACTAAACTCATTATGAGTTACAATAGTTTTGTTGTTAATTTTTTATTGTTTTCTATGTAAACAAACATGTCACCTAAGGGGACTGGTTTTACCGCTGCCTTTCCAATTTTTATGACTTTAAAAAAAAAGATTTATTTATTTATTTCAAGATCAGAGTTACAGTGACAGAGGGAGATAGAGAGAGATTATTTTCCATCCACTGGTTCACTCAGATGGCCGCAATGGCTGGGACTAAGCCAGGAGCCAGGAGCAGCTTCTGGATCCCCCATGAGGGTGGCAGGGAATCAAGCACTTGGGCCATCATTGGCTGCTTTCCCAGGCCATTAGCAGAGAGCTGGATTAAAAGTGGAGCGCCCTGTACACGAATCAGCACCCCCAGGGGATGCCGCCATTGCAGGCAGTAGCTTTAATTACTATTCCACAATGCTGGCCCCCAATTTTTAGGCCTTTTATTTCACTTTCTTGACTTACTTCATTGGTTAGGAACTGCAAAAAAATGCTGAATGGAGGGGCCCAAGTGTTTCGGCCCTGCCATCGATGTGGGAGACCCAGAAGAAGCTCCTGGCATTGGCTTTGCTCAACCCTGACCATTGCAGCCATCTAGAAAGTGAACTAGCAGATGGAAGACCTGTCTCTCCCTCTCTCTCTGGAAGTCTAACCTCTGACTTTCTAATAAATAAATAAATAAATACTGTTTTCTTTTTCACATTATAAAGTTTTTAAAACATACAGAAAAGTTGAAAGAACTGTGTGATGAAAAAAATCTACCACCCAGATTTCAAAATTAACATTTTACTCTACTTTTTCACAGTCATTTCTAAATTCTTATTTTTGATGCTTTTCAAAGTAAATTGCAGACTTCAGTAGTTTACCCAAACATCTCAGTATGAATATTTCCTTTTTAAAATAATTTTTATTTAAATAAGGTGAACAAATTTCATGTATTTCATATATACAGATTTAGGAACACAGTGGTACTTCCCACCCTATCCTCCCTCCTGCCCACGCTCCTACTACCCTCCCTCCCTCTTTCCTTTTTCTTTCTTTTAATTTTTACACTGACATACTTTCAGTTTATTTTATAGTCATAAAGAAATCTTTTTAAAAAGCTGACTAGAAGAACAGACATTTGGCATTACAGGTTGCTATGTGGATGTCCATATCCGTATCAGAGTTCCTGACTGAGTCTCATGGATTCTTCTTATCCAGCTTCTCACTAACACGCAGCCTGGGAGGCAGCAAGTAATGGCTCAAATACTTGGGAGACCTGGACTAATCCCAGGCTTCAGGTTTTGGCCTGACCCAGACCCAGTTGCTGCAGGCATTTGTGGGGGTGAACCAGCAGATGGACGATCTCTTTGAGAAAGTCATTCTCTCTCTGCCTTTCAAATAAAATGAGAATAAATAAATAAATAAAAATAAAAAAGAGACTGAAACTTGTTTCAAAAATGTTGAGTGGAGGTTGTGAGAATGAGCATACTTGTTACTTATCCATTTAAAAATTTTTTTTTTTACTGATTTAAAAGGTAGACACAGAGACAGAGAGCAACAGAGAGATCTCTCATCCATTGACTCCCCAAATGCCCATAATAGCTGGGCTAAGCCAGCCTGAAGCCAGGAGCTCAGAACTCAATCCAGGTGTCCCATGTAGGTGGCAGGGCCCGAAATACGTCAGTCATCACCTGCTGTCTCCAAGGGTGCGCATTACCAGGAAGCTGGAATTAGAAGCAGAGTTGTAACCGGAACCCAGGTACATGGATAAGGGATGCTGGTATCCCATAGGGCAGCTTAACCGCTAGGCCGAAAGCTGGCCCTGCTGTTCTAACCTTAGAGGGAAAGCACTCGGTCTTTCACCATTAAGCTAGGCTTTCTAGGATGGCCTTTAACAGGCTGAAGAAGTTCCCCTCTATTCCTAGCTTGCTGAGACATTCCATCACAAATGCTGCTGAATTCTGTGTAATGTTTTCATTGCACTCCCACTGAAACACAAAGCTTCATATACACTGTAACCAAAGAATGTTACTAAACAGTCCAAGAGAGGTACCTGGCTATAGCTCCCAACACAAGATGAGATCTGGATATTATTTTGCTTCATTAATTAGTATTCTGTGCTTGACATTTTAAAAACTTAGTCCTCTACACAACAAAAAGCAAAGATACTAAAGCATTTTTCCTGACTCAAATTTTGTTTCACCAGTAGAAATTAACATTAAAACTTTAAAAATTAACTAAGATTTTTCTTTAATTCTTGGGCTCAATTTCATTCCCATCAAGATTCTGTGCAACACTTTTTAATGTCTTGTGATTTATGGCCTACATTAAAATGGCCACCTTAAAGAAACATTTTAAATAAAGTTTGGCTGTGTTTGAAAATTCACAACCTTATTAAAAAAATTTTAAAAATTTTTTGAAAATAGGAAAAAAGTACTAGCCAAGTTCTGCCACCCAAATGAGTTTTCTTGTCTCATTTTTCTAGTTTTTCCTCTCTTAATTTTTATATGCTTTAAATCATATTCATATATAATCATAGTATTTGTTTAAACATTTAATCACAATGATTTTCATTATAAGCATACTGTGTGAAAGCTGATGTAAAATGAGTTCAGGAGTCATACTGCTAGACAAATAATACTGTACAACGCCTTGCACCAAAAGGTTAACACAGGCCACATGCGGTGATTCTACTTTATGAACACTGCTCACTGGCTACACAAGTCTTGGGCAAGAAAATCTCTCTTAAGCCTCAGTTTCTTATCTGTAAGTGAGGGTAATAAAATATATTGTAGAGTTATCGTGCAAACCTATACTGTGAAAGTTATTAGTATACCTTGTGGCATATGGTGATCATAGTCAACAAATATTAGCAATTATTTTATTACTACAACTAACCACCTAGATTTTGAGTGCCCCCTACTGGCAGTGCTAAAAGGTGGTGAGAGAATGCAGAAGGACTCCCCTTAATTTCAATTACATTCAGCCTTAGTAACTCTATGGTGTCGCTCAGATGTGCTATATTTGGCCTGCACAACATTTAAACGTTTTTAAAAAATGTCTGTGGCCTGTCGGGTTTCCTCCACCCGACAATAAACCTTTTCCCTTTAAAAAACAAAAGTCTGGAAACACGAAATTGTCAACATTCTGCAGCTTTAAATCTACCCAAAAAACAGGGATTTTATGCAATTCGACTTTGACAAATGCTGACATTTTTGAAAACTGAGTTTACATACACAAAATCTGGATTTGCGCCTTCTCTTTATTTTTTTTTTTTTTATTTTATTTTTTGACAGGCAGAGTGGACAGTGAGAGAGAGAGACAGAGAGAAAGGTCTTCCTTTTGCCGTTGGTTCACCCTCCAATGGCCGCCGCGGCCGGCGCGCTGCGGCCGGCGCACCGCGCTGATCCGATGGCAGGAGCCAGGAGCCAGGTGCTTCTCCTGGTCTCCCATGGGGTGCAGGGCCCAAGCACCCGGGCCATCCTCCACTGCACTCCCTGGCCACAGCAGAGGGCTGGCCTGGAAGAGGGGCAACCGGGACAGAATCCGGCGCCCCGACCGGGACTAGAACCCGGTGTGCCGGCGCCGCTAGGCGGAGGATTAGCCTAGTGAGCCGCGCCTTCTCTTTAAACTTTGGAAACCGAGGCAACCAGGAATCTGAATGACTGCATGGCGGCTCTCAGCGGGAGCTCAGCAGACAATTCCCCTCAGAAGGCACACGTCCAGCTGCGTTTGCTACAGCCCGCGCGTCCTGTGGTGCCTCACAACCTGACAGCTTCACTCATTTATAATCCCACCCCGGCCGCCCGCCCAGACCATCACAACTGGAAACCCCTCACCCCTCTCTTTAACACATTGGAGAGACAGGATGCTCATTCAGTTGTCAAGCAGTCTGTTTCATTGTGGGATTTATTTATTTATCTCTACCTAAATCACAGATTTTCCTTGTGTCTTCTAGATACCGTACTGATAAACCAGAGAAGAAACGTAAACAAGGCAGCTTTAGATGTTAACTGGAATACACGAACTCAAGTCTGTGGTCGCGACATCTGTATTTGCAGCAACCGCATTCACTCCTCAAAGGTCAACTATTGGTCACTCCAGATGGCCATGGAGCCGAGAGCTCCTGTCTCGCCCCAGGCGAAAACTCCTGAGCCTCAGCTCGCCTCCCTGGCGCACAGTAAGGGGACACTGCACACCTCGAGAGGCTGGTGCCCAGCGAAAAGGAAATGTCTACTCATGCCCGCCCCCATCCCCACCCCTCCGGCTCCTATTAAGGAGAAAGTGCCGTATGAAGAAATCACTCCTTAACATCCATCTTTAGACGCCCGGTAGGCGGAATTCCCGCGGGAGCATCCCCATGAAGCAGGCTGCCCGTTACAGAGAGGGTGTCCTCACTGCGCTCAGCACTTGGAAGCAAATCGCATACATCCCACTCACTCAAGTTCTCTTTTGTATACAGGGTAACATTGTGTGCAGCCTAAGACGCAGCCGGGAGTAGACCTGGACCCGAGGCCAGGCCCAAGGTGCGCCTTCTCCTCGTCCCCAACTCCCCGAGGGCCGGCCACACGCCAGCCTCCGTCCGGCGCGGCCACAAAGGGAGCGCGGCCTCGCAGCTCCGCCGGCCCCCCGGCGCGGCGCCGGGACGCGGCGTGCGAGGGCGGAGGCGCGAGTCCCGCCCAGGCCCGGAGAAGCCCGCGGGCTCAGCCCTCCCCGGCCAGGGCGCGTCGCCCGCGGCCCGCGCAGGCCCGACCCGACCCGCCGGGCCTCCCGCGCCTCGGCCGTTACCCCCGCGCCCCCACCTGCGGCCGCCGCCGCTCACCTGGTGGCGTCCGCGACGTTCCTGACGAACAGAGACGTGTTGGGGGGCCTCGTGTAGCGAGACATGTCCGCGTCCTCCGTCCCCTCCGGCTCTGCCCACGGCGCTGGGCTCGCTCGCTCTCTCGCCGCCGCCGCCACAGCAGCTCCGCCGGCCCCCAGCGCGACCCCCTCCCCTCGGCCTCGGCCCCGCCAGCGCGCAGCCGCAGAGGCCGGCGCGGAGGGGGCGCTGTGCGGCGCGAGCCGGCCGCACGGACTGCGGGGGCGGGGGTCCGGGGGTCCCGGCCGGGGGAGGTCCGACGGGGGCGGCGCGCGGGCCCGGAGGCTGCGGGGCCCGGGGAGGGCGTGCTGGGCGCGGCAGGTGAGCTTGGGGTTGGGGGACGCGGAGAGGCAGCCGAGGGGCTGGTGGGCGTGGGCGGAGGTGCGAGCCGCGCTGAGGCGCGCGGCCTCCAGGCTCGGCCGCGGCTCGGCCCTGCACCGCGGCGGCGGCGGCGGCGGCGGCGGGGCCTCTTGCCCCTCGGGTCTTGAGCGTTTTAACCGGGTGGTCTTGCTCCATTTGGTTGTCTTTTTCTCGTTGGTTCTTCATCCATGATTCGCTTAGGGCGTACTCTTCGGCGACGAGCGCGCGCTCTCACGTGCTGGTTGGGCACCTGCCATGCGTCAGGCACTGTTGCAGAAGTGGGATGTGGCTGTGGGCAGGCGAAGTCCGTCCCTTAGCGTCTCCATTCCAGAGAGGGGGACGGATGGCGAATGAAGGAGCGGACGCACGTCGTCGGAGAGTTAAAACGCAAAAAGCAACAACTAAGGGAATGAATACGAACCTTTGTCCAGTCTCCATCCCTTTTAGTGATCCGCTTGCCTTTGCCTTAGTTCCCATGGTCAGCACAGCCTGTTCCCCGGGGCCGGGATTCTATCCAGGGAACTCAATTTTTCGCGCACCCCGTTTCACTCTTGGAAGTGGTCTGCTTTTTCGTGTAGATGATTTGGTCACCTGAACGAGCCCACGGCCCTCACAAAAGCTACGAGAAGCTCCCAGGGTTTTCAGTGCTTGCCACTCGTTCAGACAGGATTGCTGTGGCACAGCAGCCTGGACGGGGAATATGGCGGTGGGGTAGGGCAGGCGGGGTCCCTTTCCTCGAAGTTCACAGTGTTCAAGATAAGCGCCCTTAGGCGATGGGTCAAACTGCAGGATGGTATGCACAGCGGTGAGCAGGGTCAGAGGGTCACTTGCGTAGAGTCTTGAAGAGTCAGCTTAAGGATGAGCAAAGAGCAGTCAGTGTACTAGACCAGCATGTGCAAAGACCTCGAAGCAATATGGGAAATGGAAGGAAGCAAATAGCATAAAGCTAGAGAATTGGAATCTAGGCTAGAGAGTTTATAATAAAAAGCTCAGACTGGGGCAGGTGTTTGGTGAGTGGGTAATGTGCTGCTTGGGATGCCAGCATCCTATATTGGAGTACCTGGGTTTGAGGCTCCGCTCCGCTTCTGATTCTAGCCTCCTCCTGGTGTGCACTCTGGGAGGCAGCAGATGGTGCCTCCAGTACTTGAGTCTTCAGCACTCACATGGAAAGGCTCCTGGTTTGCCCTGGCTCAAACCTGGCTGTTGTGGGCAGCTGGGGAGTGAACCAGGGATGGAGGATATCTCTCTCTCTCTCTCTCTCTCTCTCACCTCTCATCTCTCACCTCTATTTCAAGTAAATAAAAAGACACAGAATTTTAAAGGAAGAAGAAAGTTGAGAGTGCTATGTTATGTATGAGTTTGCTAGGGCTGCTGTAACAGATTAACCACATGTGATGGTTTAAAGTAACAGACGTTTATTCTCCAGGAATTCTGAGAGCCAGATGTGTGGAATCGAGGTGCCTACAGGGCCATACTCACACTGCTGAAGGTAGAGGGGAGAATCCTTGCTGGCTCTTTCAAGCTCTGGGGGCCCCAGGTGTATGTTGCCTGTGGCTGCTTGGTTCCTCTTTCCATCTCTGCCTTCTCCTCTGTGTGTCGTCTCCTCTGTCTATTATGAAGATGCTTCTCAGTGGATTAGGGCCTACCTGATTAATTCTAGAATGATTGTACCTCAAAACTCCCCGTTATGCCTGCAAAGACCCTTATCCCTGATAAGGTCACAAACCTACAAATCTGTTGGGAGCCACCATTCAACCCGCAACATTAACTTTACAAAGAAAAAGAATCTTGATCTGGTGGGTGCTCAGAGTTACCCTGATATATTGTTAAGTGGAGAAAAAAAAAGTCACTAGATACCATATAAACTATGAACCTATCTAGTTAAAATTTATATCTCAGGGCCAGCATTGTGGTATTGCAGGTTAAGCTGCCACCTGCAACACCAACGTCCCATATCGGCACCTGTTGGAGTCCTGGCTGCTTCACTTCCCATCCCAGCTTCCTGCTAATGCACCTGGGGAAGCAGCAGAAGATGGCCCAAGTGCTTGGGTCCCTGCCACCCACATGGGATACCTGAATGGAGCTCCTGGCTCCTGGCTTTGGCCTGTCCCAGCCTTGGCTGTTGCAACCATTTGGGGAGTGAATCAGCAGATGGGAGATATGTGTCTCTCTCTGTGTCCCTCTCTCACTGTAATCCTGCCTTTCAGATAAATAAATAGGTAAAAATTTATTTCTCTGCATGTTTAGGTAGAAATAGAATTTTCCCAGGTGGAGGCATTGTACTCTGATTTTTACTTTCTTCTTCATACCTTTCAATACTGTCAGATTATTTAAAAAATTTTTTTTATAATTAGAGAACATATACAGATCCTTACAATTTGAAAAAAGCTTCTGTAGGAAATTTGAAAAGACAGTGTAGATGGGGAGTGGTTTCGCTTTTCCTGTTTCTTTTGTTGAAAGTACCCAGAAAAGCTCTTCAATTGTAAAAGAAGATTCAAGTAGAAACTTGGGCTTTAAAGGCAGTTGGAGTTGGTTTAAAATGGAGCCAGGATTATTTATATTACATAAAAATATATGTTCTTCCTATTTTCATATGTGGTATGAGGAAGCTAAGTATAAAGAAGTGGAAGGTAAGGGGCATGTGTTGTGGTACAGTGGGTTAAGCTGCTGCTTGAGATGCCAGCATCCCACATCTCCGTGTCTGCTGCTGTGCCTCTGATCCAGCTCCCTGCTAATGCACCTTGCAAGGTAGCAAGTGTGTGTTCAAGTACTTGGGCCGCTGCCACCCACCTGGGGGACTTCAGTGGAGTTCTTGACTCCTGGCTTCCACTTGGCTCAGCCTTGGCTGTTGTGGACATTTGGAAAGTGAACCAGCAGATGGAAGATTCTCTCTCTATCTCTCTGTCTTTCAAATAGATGAAAAGTAAATGAATAAACATTTTAAAAAGAGAAGTAGGAAGAAAGGCTTAGGTCAAAACTAAAGACCCTGCCAGTCCCTGGACTCACAAACATATTCATATTTACCCTGAGTCCTAACAGTGAGTTAGATGACATTTAGCAGGAGTATTGCTTTACTGAAGCATTGTGTTAAGGCCCCAAATGGTGCCCTACAGGCTTCGGAGAATTAATGTTCTTGCTTAATTGCCAAAGGATTTCCAAGGAGTGTACCATTGGCAACTATAACAATTGTTTAATAGCTGTGGCTCCTTTTTACAGCAGGATTTAATGTATTATTCTTTGCTATGATTATTACTTCCTTTCCATTTAACACATTTTAAAAATTACAGCCTAATGCTTCTTATTTTTTCCCCTAAGAGACATAGACATTGGTTTGAAAATATTTTAGGAAAACTAGTGTCACTTCTCAATTTAAATACTATCATTGCTTTTTTCTCTGTCTTAAAAGTAAATGAATTTTAACGTTTTTTTTTTTAAAGATTTATTTTATTTATTTGAAAGAGTTACACAGAGAGAGGAGAGGCAGAGAGAGAGAGAGAAGTCTTCCATCCGTTGGTTCACTCCTTGGATGGCCGCAACGGCCGGAACTGTGCCGATCTGAAGCCAGGAGCCAGGAGCTTCTGGGTCTCTCATGCAGGTGCAGGGGCCCAAGGACTCGGGCCATCTTCTACTGCTATGCCAGGCCATAGCAGAGAGCTGTATCAGAAGAGGAGCAGCCAGGACTAGAACCGGTGCTCATTTGGGATGCCGGTGCTTCAGGCCAGGGCTTTAACCCACTGTGCCACTGCACTGGCCCCTGAATTTTAACTTTTCATGGAAACCATACTTCCACAGAGTATTGCAAGAAAAATTCAGAAACCTTTTTCCAACTTCTTAAAACTTGTCTTGGTAGACAAGTCTTTCAAATCAGTAGTCTGCATTATGTTTAAAATAGAGGCACATAAAAATGTATTCCTTTAATGCTTGGGTGGGTTTACTCCTGTCTGTCTGGGGAAATTGCTAGTAGCAAACTTACTGTCACTTAGAATCTAACACTTGGGACTTTCCCTCTTCTCTCTTACCCACCACACCCAAAACTGGCAGTGTCTTAGAGTCTTTTTGCCACTCTGGGGCATCTTTTCTAAACGACACCCTCCCAATTTCATAGGTAGACTTTGGAGAGTAGAGTTTGAGAGTAGAACATCACTGCTCCTGGGTTGTTAGTAATGTTCAAAATTCAAGACTTTCCCTGTTTTTCATTACCATGGATAATCAAGAAATGCCAGTGTTGGTTTGTAGTATTGAGCAACACAGATTTGTTATTCCAAAGCAATTGAATAGTGTGTTTGGCTGTTTAATATAACTAACTTTTCTTCCATTTCTTTTCTTTAAAGATGATTGATTTGAACTGGGGTGGGAGAGAAAAGAGAGAGAGAGATCTTCCATCTTCCATCTTCCATCTGCTGGTTCACTCCTCAAATGGCAGCCAGATCTGGGCCAGGCCAAAGCCAGGAGAACTCCACCCAGGTCTTGCACATGGGTGCCAGGGGCCTCAAGTACCTTGGCCATCATGCACTGCTTTCCAGGCACATTAGCAGGAACCTGGATCAAAAGTGCAGCAGCTGGGACTCAATCTGCTGCTCTGATACCAGATGCTAGTGTCACAACCAAGAGCTTAACTTGCTGTGCCACAGCACCAGCGCCTCTTCCATTTCTTAAATGGATCAAAATGGGCTAGTTAGCAGGTCTGTAGGCAGGGATCAACTCAGAAAAGACTAGTGTTTTAATTTTTAAATAAATTTTTATTTTCATGTAGTTGAAAGAGAGAGAGAGAGAGAGAGTGTGTGTGTGTGTGTCTACACCTGCTTTCTGGTTCGCTGTCCAAATGCCGACAACAAC